TATTCAGAATAGCGCTGAATAGCGTTGATTGGTTGCTTCAATGACGCATTCTCTATTCCGCAGTCTTTTTCCGCACCGTGTGATTTCACCCTAAGCGTATTCTTTGATGTCCCAAAGCGTGCGCGTAGTCCGTGTGTCTCTTATAATGATAAAGGCGAACGGCGTAAAAAGCGAGGGAAATTTCCCGGAAAGGGAGGCCACGATGGTGTGCTCGCTTAGGATATATGTATGTTTAAAGGCCGATTGTTCCATCTTTTGGTAAAGTTTACCTGTTAGATAAGTAGCAAGATTATCCAATCACGTGCGCGGATTGCCAGATTTACCTAACAGGTAAATTTTACCAAAAGATGGAACAATCGGCCCTAATGTTGGATTCACACTGCATCCGATTTTCGTCGTACGACGAAAATCGGATGCAGTGTGAATCCAGCATAAGGAATTAAGGAATTAGTCCGGATCTACAATAGGTGGTTTAAGGCTTAAACCGTAAGAAACTGACCAATTATAGTCGAATCCGAGGGGAATAATCGACTGTGATTCACCCATTTCTTATGGCTTAAGACTTAAAACTCTATTGTAGATCCGGGATTACGGGAAGTAATAGCGGACAAGACAAGGCCATTTTGGCTCCATGACGCGATTATTTCAAACTTATGTATGAATATAATCAGGTTAGGATTGCATTTTGCATTGCACTTATGCGGAGTCTACAATAGAAGTCGTAACAGTCGTAGGGTCTTAAGTCGTAGAAAATTGACCAATCACAGTCGAATATGAGAAGAATAATCAACTGTGATTTTGCAATTTTCTATGACTTAAGCCCCTACGACCGCTACGACTTCTATTGTAGACCCCGCATAAGGTCTTAAGTCGTAGAAAATTGACCAATCACAGTCGAATATGAGAAGAATAATCAACTGTGATTTTGCAATTTTCTATGACTTAAGCCCCTACGACCGCTACGACTTCTATTGTAGACCCCGCATTAGGGCCACTTGTCACCAAGCTCAGTTAACTTAACTGGCCAGTTAGTCCATCGAAATTGACCAATCGCATTTGTCATTTTGTTTGAGCTTGGTGACAGTGGCCCTAAATGCAATGGGTGCATTCAGTACCACGACCGC